GATTCCAGAGCAGCCTCCATCCCTGAGGAGCTCTAGCTCCCTGTGGACAGGGGCTGCTGCCACCCTTCACTGCCACCTCTGTATCAGAGGATCAGTGCAAAGTGCCAGGGGTCTCTAGTTGCCTTCCCTGCCCCCAGGCACTATTGAATAATCATGTAACAGATAATATTTGATGCAGTTACATGACTATTCCATTACACAATATCTAACATACCTATTAAAGAATAAAGTTTGCAAAAAGAAAACAAAACAGTCCCCCCCCCCAAAAAAACCAAAAAAAACCAATTGAATATAAACTGACCATGAACAACAAGGCTAGAAATTAGAGGAAAGTTTTTAGCTGTCAGAGGGGTGAGGTTCTGAGTAGCAGTTGTATGGTCTAGCACCCTAACTAGTTTAAGATAGAGTTTGATAAATTGCTAAATGGAATTATATGCTGTGCTATTGTGTTGATGATGATGACAGCAGGGAGGCTCGATAACCCGGCAAGTCCCTTCCAGTCCTTTGTTTCTATGAATTCTGCTTCCAAACCAGGTAGAAAGGTGCTGAGCTAAAGAACTGAAAATAGACTTTTAAATATGCTTATTTTCCTTGAAATAACTTTTAAAAACTTGTAAAATATATATATTTTGGAAAAAAGACCAATACTTTCCTATTAGAAAATATAAAATTGTATTTATACTTACCATAGAGACAGCTTAAAAATTAATTGTACCTAGAGAAGGGTTTGCTGGCCCTGCAGGCTAAGATCGAGAAGCTGGTAACCCTTGCCAAAAGACGCATTGCAATCGGTCGTCTGCGGTACACACAGTTAGGTAATACCGTGGATCATGCCAAGACTCACTTCTCTGAGGCACTCAACCAGGCAGTAGAGGTCCAACATGTGATCATGGGCAGCGCCTTCACCGGCGAAGAAATACCCTGGGAGTGGATTTAGGTAGTGTTTTGCCAAATTATGTGGAGAGTTTCAATCATAACATTCATACTGGTACTGATATTGTGCCGTCGCTTCCAGCGTAGAATGAACACCCTGAAATTACTGTATTTGACCTGGCGGGTCAGAGAACCCTAAGGTCAAAAGGAGGGAACTGTAGGGTAAACTGAGGCAGCCCTAAATGTGCTAGTAGGCCTCTAAACAGCATAACTCCATTCTAGGATTAAGGCCTGGGAACATCACAGTCAGGATAAGAGCTGCAGACAGTGGAATGATCCTGGGCACCATAGCAACCACATTCTAAGACACTCGGACAGGACTCCAGTTAGTAACCTAACACATTTTGCTTAAGATAACATTGATAAATTTGCTTAACTGTCTTGCTTCACTCCTAGATAATGAGCCTGAGAACCAAGTGCTGCACCAACTCAAGGTCATACCCGCCTGCTATCAGAAACATCATCATCAATGCAGACTAAAATGTTATTACTGTTTTGCTGACATGTTTTGGCATTTAAACAATAACCACCTATATGTATTAATTAATAAGTTGTTACTTTGCAATGGGCGGAGACATTATGTAATCTTTAGTAGTTCTATTGGCTTATGTGCTCATTTCATCTTGCTGCTAGACCTATCAAATCATTTTTCCTCCGTCCACCTGCTGACTATATAACCTATTGTATTGTGTTAATTAACCGGTGTTCACCAGGGTAACTCCTGCGTGTCACTCCATCAGCTGGTGTATAATAAATCCTCCACTTGTTTTCATCTGCATCCAGAGTGTCCTGGATTATTTCCAACAAATTGGGGGTTCGTCCGGGATCCAGGCTTGTGAGCTGATCGGGAATCGGAGACTGAAACCCAAGAGAGGTGAGTATGTTTAATTTACCACCTCATTAGGGCTAGGGGTTGACATCTCTGGTTTCCTTCAGACACATCCTGGTTCCGTTCTATTTGAGGCACAAGATACCTGGATGAGGGCGAACCAAGCCTATGAGGCAGGCCTGAAAGAGGGAGGGAGGATCATCTAACCCCCCACAGGGGACAAGCACAAGAGGGGGCTCGTTACGGAGAGACTGGATAAATCACCAGGGAGTGATTGAGCCGTACGTTAAGCTCGGGAGTGGCCGAGTACACAAGGCGGCAGGCAGCACGATCTGGTGACCCACTCTCTCATTGCACGTAACATTGTAAGACCTGGCAGACGCCCCCCAACAGGCACTTAACGTACACACTCTTGCATAGTGCAAATCCCCGCCGGCAGTTGGGAAGGTACCAAGTGGTGCTAGAAGGTGCAAAGACCATACGGTATAAGCCACACACGGAATATCGGGGGTAAAGGCTGATTCCTAAGAGTGTGTCTGAAAGACGTAGCTAGAGAGGGACGGCTAAGCCGTGTATGAAATCCCCGAAGAGGTACCAGTAAAGCAGGGAGGAAAACCACGCGCATCCTCCATAAGCCCAGCCGGTTCGAGAGCAAGGAGCCCGAGCCCGAGCTGGAAGATAAGCCCAGCCGGATCGGGAGCCAAGGCACCCGAATCTAGGCTGGAAGAGAAAGAACCCAGCGCCTGTCCGGAGGGACTATGAAGGTTTGGAAGTGAGCTGTAGCTGCTACAGCTGGAGAGTGGGACCCGCTGAACCTCTGCGTTCTCCGGACCGAGTGTTGTGCATTTGTATGTCATACCTTAGCATTGGTTGCTAGGGACTAGGATTGCTAGCAACCAATGACTGAGTACACTAATCCGTGGGTTGTTCTAGACAACTACTGGGATTTGGAGCAACCCCAGGGATTGCTCCTTTTCCTGTTAGGGTGTAATCCTATTCCTCCTTCTGATGGTGTGTTGGAAATCACTATTATAATCACTCATCCGAATGAATGTTAATTGATGAATGAGGAGTGAGTGCTATTAACTGGGTCTGAGGTAAGCCCCAGCAAACCTTTTCTTTCAGTGTAAGTGTGCGTGAACAAAAACACAAGGGAGAATTGAGGAGTTCAATTGTCACAGTAAAATATGGCTGCACGACAGAAAGTAGGTGTTAGCCCTCAAGAATATCTAGAATATAAACATGCCCAAACCCGGCAAGTTGCTACTAAAAAGAACAGCTATCCAATTGCAATATCAGAAAAGGATTTGAGCAAGTGGTGGTCAGAACAATAAAAAGATAAGACCAAGAAAGCAGTGATAGCAGTGTTAGACATCCTTACGCTAAAGGAAAAGAAAATTAAAGCCCTGCAGGAAGAGATGAATGCCCAAAAGCATAATTCTTCTTCTAGCAGCGAACCATATAATCCACACGCTGCAGCACCTCTGTGTCAGGAGGATGTGAAACAGAGAGAAACCAATCTTGCAGTTCCTGCACCTATGCCAACTGCACCTCCCTTGTATCCCTCATTATATCCAGATCCTCCAGAAAAGGCACAGATGATAGTTACAACGGGCCAAACCAC